AACGGCAGTGTTAACCACTTCGTGTAGTCATTTGCTCGATGGCAGCGCGCTTTCAGCTCTGCCAGCAACCGGGAGAAAATTAAATGAAATTTTCATATGTCACTAACAACAATGAAGTATTTTTATTGCATAATTAACCCCACCCAAATGATGAAACCCTATAACCGAGTTCATTTTCGTGCCATAAACAAATTTAATGGCTGCCACACAGGGAAAGGAGAGCTCACCTTATTGTTGCTAACGAGGCACATAATCATCATTATAGGCAATTATGTCCATCTTTAATTGATACCAACTAGCTCTACTTATATACTTTTCCCATTAGAGAGTGATACTTAAAACTAAGCAATATGGCTTGCAACTAAAATTGAGAACAAACAAGTAAGAGGTTCTAGTCGGGAGCTCACAACTAGGGGATACCCTGAACCCTCTTCTTCCTACATCAAATGCATATATATATTCTATTTTAGAAACTATATGTCAAGTTTGGGGACTCTAGCTCTTATTATTTACCAAAATTGCCCAAAAAGCAGGATATCGATATCGATTTTTATCGATTGCTTGGCAACCGAGTAAGTTATCGTTTATCGGAAACAAACTCGATATGCGCAGGCACTAGGAGCACCTACATTTAAGATTTCAAGTCTATAGCTCTTATATGTTCTGAGATCCTTGCGTTCATACATACGGACGGACGGACGGACGGATAGATCGACTCGGCTATTGGTGCTGATCAAGAATATATATACTTTATGGGGTCGGAGATGTTTCCCTCTGCCTGTTACATATATTTGGATTTTGCACAAATACAATACAGCCTTATACCCATTTTTAATGAGTTCAGGGTATAAAAATAATCCGCATATTTTCCGTAACTTATCTGAACAATCGACGTAGCTTATCTGAGATCGACGCATTTATACATTGGAACAGACGGACAGACAAGTTGTTGATGCTGAGCCAGAGTATAGGTTGAGATGCCTTCTTCCGCATGTTACTAAACTTGTCACAAAATGAATATACCCTATTTACAAATTTGCTAATTTCATTTAGTTGAGTTCAGTAAAAGTCATGTTTAAGGCCACATGATGTAGTTTTTATATCTTCAAAGCCCTTTTAGTTTAAATCCCTTTAATTGTACTTATTGAACAAAATGACTTTCCCAATAAATGACTCTAGATATGGTAAAAGAATGAAGTTAAAAGTAACTTTTCTATAAAACTGTGAACGACTATTTGTTTAGTGATTCCATTGCAACCTGATACGAAGCACGTCTGGCAACAACTTTGAAGTTTTACGCATTCGCACATTTATAATATGGTATTTGCATTCTCTCGAAAGCGGGTTTTCCTGATTCCCATAACCAAAACAAAGGAACGACTCTCACTTAAGTCTAGATCCACGCACACACACACACACACAAGCTGTGAGACACCTTCGGAGTTTATGACTTCGTCAGAGTACTTACATATATGGCTCAATAATCGGGCTGAATGAGACTCATTTAGTCTATCAAGTTATCGCTGGAACAGCTTTGGCTCCCACGCCTTGGCACTCGCACCTCCAAGTTGTTGTTGTTGTTGTTGTTGTTGTTGCTGTTGTCTGCGCAGGCGTAATGAGGCGAAGGCAATGTCAAATACGCAGATCTCAAAGTGTGATTGGCGCTACATTCACGTGGGTGGTCGCCAATAAGAGTGCATCCGTGCGAGCTGGAGAGTGGGGAACTGGTGACAGCAGGACCGCACCCACGCCCACATGCGTAGGCCAGTGGATCAATGGGGTAGAATAGATTCGACGGAGCGCGCTGAAGATTTGCATGCGCCAGAGTAAAAGCTCATTAAGAGCCCCCACGAATTAGACGACGGCGAATAAATCTTGGCTAAAGGGTGTTGAGAAACAACAAGGCCCAAATTCAGAGTCAGATACAGGGCCAATCCAGAACCGCCGTCACCAGATACCGAGATGCCGAGATACAGAGGCCGGAGCGAGGCCTCGTTTGTAATGCCGGCAGTTGAGCGCATTTCGTTGTAACTTTGTGTTTCATTAATAATCCGAGAGCGGAAAGCGGAGAGCGGCCGCTTCATAAATCTTGTGTCGCATAATTACAGTTAAAATTTATAAGCTTATCTCCTTAGCCGCAAATTTATTAGCGTGTTACAAGGCGCAAGGCGATGGACACGACGGACGCTGCAGTTCGTCAAAGCCGAATGATGTCGTTGGCGGCTTTGTCTGCGCCCCAAACGGGAACAACAACAGCAAGGATGGGGCAAACGTCGGAGCAGCAGTTGGCGAAGGGTACCGGCGACTGGAGACGGGCACAGGCCGCGCTCATTATGGCCAAGTATCGAAAATGTGTATTTAAAACGGCGTGAAAAACAATTTGTTGCCAATTTTATGACACCTCGCGCCTTGCCACAACTCATCTGCCAGGCGAGGATCGTGCGGCAAGTGAAGTCCAGATGGATGCGACCTGCGAGCTCCGAGATGCAAACAAATTCATTTGAAGTCCGTGGCTGCGACTGTAGCTGCGACTGTGACTGCGACTGAGACTTTGACTGGGGCTGTGGTCGGGCCGAAAGCGGTACTAAGTGTCATCCCCATAGATTTATGCGTATTGTCTTTTTTCGGGTTACTTGGGCTCACATTCCGGGAAGGCTTCAGCTGCGACTGCAACGGAGACTGGGGCCAAGGCTGCTGCCAACCGACTGCCGAACATTAATCATTGGGGGCCAGCAGTTTGCGGCAGCACTCGAGGCGTTGTAATGTGCCTCAGCTCGGACTGGGATCTGGCACTCTGGCCGGCCGAGAGCTCTGGGGCTGTGGGGCTGTGGGGTTCTGCCTTTGGCGGGATTAATGTACGCGCGCAAGGTATTTTGAATGGGCTTTTTATGGTCACATTTATTGAATTTATAACGTAATATACTCGCGCCATGACTCATTCTTAGAGTTGCAACTCCAGCCTCATCCCAGGCCCAGCGCCGCCTACGGGTCCAGTTCCGAAACACGTCTGCTTCGATTCGAGTGCAATAAAAAATTATGCTTAAACAAAATACTTAACTATAAATTCAACAAAATATTACTAAACTTAAATTGACTTTTTATGAAGTCATCTGCACGCAGCGCGTGCCATAAAAATTCACTTAAGCAGCGACACCCACTCACAATACGCACAACGCGATCGCACACTCATACGGCTGTCCATTCCAATCCCGATCCCGATCCCTTTCCATTCCTCGCCACCCTGCTCCTTATGCTTGTGCAAATAAACAGCACTTTGTTATGCTCGTAAACAACGTCTCGAGCTTCAAGTCCAACTTTTGTCACCGAACGCTTACCAAAAAGACCAAAAATGTTCCCAACAATGAAATCCAATACCAAACTGTAAATCATCCACAAAATTAAGATGTTTGCCCGCTCGAAACCGAGCTTTCCTTGTTGTTATTGCTGGAGATGTTGCCGGAGTGCAAAATCGTATTTAAACTCGGAGCAATTCATATATATCTATAATTTCTTCAAATACTATATTCTATTATGTGTCTTTATATAAATCCGTAAGATAAATAAAGTAGTTCAGACTGACTCTGACCAATCGCAATTTAAGTTTAACTCCGAAACCCCAAATATATTCGATGCATGCCTATTAATTCCAATGTCTATTTGTATATTTGACAACGAAGTAGAGTAGGTAATCGTGCCCGTAAGACACTTGGATCTGTTGCACATGTGGTCCCAGTTGGATTCAACAGCGTTTCCATCAACATCATAATAATTCGAGTACCGCATATTTTGACGCTTTGTACTGTTCCAATCCTTTGTCTGACAGCCACTTTTGACACCTACGCGTCGCTGCATTTCGGGCAAACTTAAAAAAGCATCCGCCGTCTCCAAGGTGTCAATTTGTGCCGTTGGCATGCCAGCACACACACACACACACACACACACACAACCAACACTAACGCACAAGCACATGCACATTTGCCGCCTTTGTTGCTGGTTTGTTTTGCTAAGCTCATTGAATATAAGTAAGTCGGGTATATTGATTCTGTGCGAATGTATGCAACAGGTAGGTGAAAGCATCGCCGACCTTATAAGGCAATATCATTCGGTGTGAACTATTCAATATCGATTTTGATAGAATAATATACAGATTATTCGTGCTGGACGCAGTAATGTAATGTAATCTTATGTAATTCCATATATAATATATTATAATAGTCTAGCATAAATTAGTAAACAAATAAGGAATATTACATTTTTCGGATATATTTTCCTATTCTAACCAAAATTGAAAATAATAAAAACTCACATTTAAACGTAAAGCCTGTTGAATAATTATTTGAATTTTTTCATTAAGATCGGACAATGAAAACCGATGCAAATCACGAGGGCATGGGAAGAAGCATATATTTTATTATATTATATTTTATATATGTGTGTATGAAATACAGGTCGAATGTTTTTAATGGCTGCATTGCTCGGTGTATACAGCTTAGGGTATCTGGTAGTCGGGCACTCTTAATTGTCTTGTGTTGTTTTGTTATTTCTTTGACGAGTGTGTATGCAAATTTAATGGCTAAATTAGACAGAAAAACGTTAACGTTTTCGTAACGTTTCGGTATGGGCAACTATTAGGCGTGATTATGGGCCAAGATTGCTTTTAAGTGTAATTTGCATAATGAATTTAATGCGATTGTAATACCAGCAATTGTCGATCCCGATTCCGATCCAACTCCATCTCGAACGCAGTCTCATTAATTGAGTAATTAATACCGACGCCCACCGCCAATTAGAGAGGCAGCTGCCACGATGATAACGAGCTGATCATCATGATCAGCGCCAAGTCTCGGCTGGGACCACCTACCTGGCAGCCCATTCGATTAGGCTCGATTCGATGCGGCTCTGTTCGGAATCATAAAAATATGCAAAGATAGAATTAAGCAAATCAAAACAGCGCTTTGTGTATAATTTAAATGTTTGTTAAATTATTTATATTATTTGTATTGTTTATTTTTTTCTTTTCTTTTTGCATTATTTTTTCTTTTTCTGTTTCTAAGTTTATTATACAAAAACACGCAGCGCAGCGCGGGGCAGCTACGACTCCATCTCCACCGCGTCCGCATCCACATCCGCATCCGAGCGGGCAAATCACGTCGCGTGCGCCGAGGGGGGACTAGAATATTTTACAACTTAATTGTTTAGCAACTTTAAGCACTAAGCTTACACGCTACACAATAAATTTAAATATTAATATTATGGTTAATTATACAATAAATATTGCCCCTATGATGGCTCGGCCGCTGCCGACGCTGACGCTGACGCCGCCGCCGCCGCCTCCTGCAGCTCCTGCAGCTCCTCCTCCTCACGCGTCAGCGGCACCGTCGAGTGATTGTAGAGGCCCTGGGCCATTAGCTGCAGCGCTAGCGGATTCTTGGTGCCGCTCGACTTTTTCAGCTTGGCGCGCTTGTTCTGGAACCAGATCTTGATCTGCGCCTCGTTCAGGCCCAGCTCGCCGCTCAGCTGCTGGCGGCGCTTCTCTGTCAAGTAGCGGTTCTCATTAAACTCATGCTGAGAAAGGGCAGCCGGAGAGAGAGAGAGAGAGGGGGGAATCAGCCTTTGGCTGTTGTTAACCGGTGCACCTCAATGGACTCACCTTCAGTCGGGCCAGCTGAGTGCCGCTAAAGGCGGTGCGGGGTCGCTTGTCCTCCGGCACGCCAGCGCATCCGGAGGCGCCATCCGGATCGGACTTGTCGCCGCTGCTGCTGCCCGCAGTGCTGGTAGCCGCTGGCTTCTTGGGCTTGCGAGTTCGCGGACCTGCGACAGGGAGACAGTCGGAACAGAACAGAACAGAAGAGGGAGGTCATAAAAATTCCACGGCGCAGTTAATGGCAACAACATGACTGGACCAGGGACCTGCTGCCAACTCATCGCGCACACATAAATCCTTATGCTCATATATGCAATGCTGATGGCCAGCAATTAATTCACATTTAAATGCGCTCCAGACAACCCCTGGCTAGCAGACCCCGCCCCATCCCCATCCCCCGCCCCGATGGCGGTCCTCAACCCCCACTCGAGGCCAAAACAATTAAAGTTTCGAAAATTTGCGCGCGTCATTTTCAAAAGTAATCAACGCAATGACTTTTGACTGTGGCTAATTTCCCGTTCAACCCCCACAACGCCCCAAGACAGCCCCCGTCCCCGCACAAGCTCTGGGCACAGTCTTGAGCTGCAAGCAATGAAAAACAACCCCCACTCTTAACCGAAACTGTCTTCACTTTTCTCGACTTGAGTTGTCTTCCTTTTAATTAACAGTTGCGGGGCAGACAAGCGCAGAAAATCAACGTCCCGGCCAGCATCGGCATCCACGCCCACTTTTTACTCTCAATGTGCAGAGGAGAAAAGTTTTTGGCCAGAGAGTGTGGAGCGAGGGTTATCGAAACGCTATGCAAATAACAAAATTGTCGTAAAAGGGTTTTCCTTTCCCCATGAAACTGAATGGGCCGGCAAGTTGGTAAAGTTGAGCTCATTTCAAGAAATAGTTGCGCTGAAATGAAGCAATTATGAGGTTTACTAATGGGCATTTCTGGAACCACGAACATTCCTCACAGCGCCACGAGTGACCGCAGCCTACTTTGTTTGCCAGCATCTTGTGGCCCAAACTATTTTGTAATATCAGCTTCCATTCATCATAAAGCCCCTCGCTCTTGCCTACTCATGCCAAGTGTGTAGGAATAATATTTGGACAGTTAGTCTTGAAAATATTTAACAGACATATTGAACACGTAAAATTCTTTAAGAGTACTTTTCTGGGTGTTTCTTCAACTTTCTTCCTTTAGTTAACGTTTAAAGGTTAACTTCTTTAATTAGCCCAAGCTAGAAAGAAAACTCCGAAGCCTCATTGTTAACTAGCTCAAACCACTAAATATAATAGTTCCGAAGGACTTGCTATGATTGTCTGACATCTGAAGCTTTTGTCTGATTCATTTCCTTGCACTCTATTAGGTACTCGAACCTCTCTCTTAACCGGAGGTTAGCATTATTTTAAAAGAGCTAACCAATAGTTAGAGCTGTCTGAACTACACATAGTAGATCCACCTTCTTGCCCCACACATCAAATATATGTTTCGTAGCGCAGAGTTTAAGGTCAGTTGCCGGCCAGAGCAAACAATTTGCGGACATCTTATCATCTTGTACTTACTTCGACCTGCAATGAGAAGAATGAAAAGAAAACATACTTTTAAGCTAGACAATTGAAAATTAAATTTGCTTTTAACGCGAATCAATAAAGTATCGGAAATTGATTAAATTCCACGGCGGCAGCAAAGTTTCTTGCTGTCGAAACGTGCAAAAATTCCAACAGAACCCAAGTCCAAGTCCAGCCCCAATCCTGCGCTGGTATATGCCGCTCGGTTCGAACAACCTTCGAAACAAATGTACCGGAACTAATGGCAACCGGCAACCAAGTCATGCCCTAAGTTAAATCGTTGGAAAAATTGAACAAATCAATTTTGTCAACAATTTCGCTGCGAGGCTGCCAACCGGCGCGAAATTAAACCAAAAACATTAACAGTACATGGAACGTGCCTGCACGTGTTGTCCAAAGGGGGCGTGACGTTGGTGACTGAGGTGTTATCACGGTTTTAAATTTCACACGCAGCTCGACAACAACAAACAACAGACCTTGAACCTGTCAGACAGCCAGGAGACGACGTCGACTGCCAACCAGCAACGGGCAACGGGCAACGGGCAACGGGCGACTTCTGCCTCGTCATCGCCAGCGGCAGGCAACGGGCGAGGTGGAGTAAGTGCTACAACCACCCAGTCGAGGAACGCATGTTGCCGGGCAGATAAGCCGGCACAAGTTGCATACCAAGGCGTCGCAAGGACATTGCCAAGGGGTTGGCAGGTTGCCAGTTGCTGTTTCCGCTGGCTGCCCCTCATTTTCAAGCTGCAACAATTGCTGGCGTCGAATCTGTTCCCGTTCCCGTTCCCGTTCCCGTTCCCATTCGCCGCCCTCATGCCTTTTCCCTTTGTGGAAATTGTGATTTATAGCGTGTTAAATTTTTCATTGCTTGCTGCGCAAATTTGACACAATAAAATTTTCAATGTTGTCCTTTCGATGCTGCCGAAGGATGAGCTTTTCTGAACGGCGTTCCGGGGGGTTTTGCCAAATTGGCTTTAATAGAAATTATATGAACTCAATCAACAATATATCCAATTGCATGCAAACAAGCATTAAAAATCGAATTGTATTACTGGAATACAGAAAATCTAAATTAAGTATTAACTAAACTGTTTGCTTAAATTCTAAATATCTATAAAAACATTTGATGTGATAATGATCCCATTATGCTAATAAAACATTGTCGCCAATATACAAGAATTAAACAACCCTTACAGTGTCGGGTTACGAGTTATTCACTGTTGAATATGCAGGTAACATATTTACCTGGCTTAAATTAATCTCATGACAAAATTTATTAATATAGTCGAGTACAGTACTAATCGCACGGCTTGGCACTACTCAGCGCCCTTCTCTACGCTTCTCAGCGCCCTTCTCTGCGCTTCTCAGGTACTGCACTCTCAACACTGCATCTAAACATTTATCTATCGAACACCAACGTCGACAACAGCAACAACTGATCAGCTTAACATGCACAAAAAAAAGCTTAAAAAAAAGAGACACGAATGTATTCACATAAATTGTTTTCATTTGCAGAGCTCATCTCAAAATAAAAGAAAAACAAAAAAAACAAAACGCGGCTGTGTAGTGGCAAAAACGGGAAGATGTCTTCATCATCGGTTGTTAAACGCAATGACCCAACTTGGTAAGAGCCGCTGCCAACTGGCAACTGGCAACTGCCAGAAGTCGGCTGGCAACTGGCAAACAAAAAATAAACCAAGTCAGAGTCCGAGCCAGGCCGCGTCGAGTGGAGTCGGTGTCCATTTGGGCATATGTTTAAAATAAGCGCATTTGTTTTATTTATGCTTAACATGAGTTGCAAATGCCAAAAACAGCCGACAACTTGTGCAGAGGATCTCGGAATCGGGATGGCAACGGGAACGGGAATGGGAACGGGTCTGGCCGCTGATGAGTTACCATTTTGGCAGCAAATGAATGAACCTGAACGAGTGCGCAATTAAGTGTCCAGGGACTGAGCGGGAGCGTCTCGTAATAGGCGCTTCGATTTGAATGTTGCTGATAGGTCAGCTCAAAGGAGCCCCCGGCTCGCGGGGGAGCCGCAAACTGGCCCAAAGACTCTTTCGATGGTAAAGCACGCGCACAACATGGCCAGAAACGAGCACAGCTAAAATTGACTTATAAAGATCTCAAACTAACGGGCCACACACAGCTCCAGAGTCCGAGCCCGTCACTGGGGAGCCATAGAGACAGCAACCAGAACCGGCAACCAGTACCTGGCTGATTAACTTGGCCCGGGCGGCAACTGAGCCATGTAAGCGATATGTTCGACAGTGTCGATGGGGGCCTTGCTTCACTTTTTCCCTTCTTCTTGTTCTTGCTCGTTGTTGGGGCCACCGCTGATATCGGATCTTGTTGCCCAATCTAATGATCGGTCAGCTCATTAATAAGTCATAAAAACAACACGTTACCAGGGAAATTTACGCGCCGAGAGTGAAAGTCGATTCATTATGACAGTCCATAAAGATGACGAACAGATTAAATGATGAAATGCACCCGATTCAGGAATTTAATTATTAATTCATAACTGGGCACTAAAAAGTATCAGCATAGCTGCTGCACTGCCTCCCAACTGCCCACTTTCTTAGACTTGGTGGCACCTGCAAAAATGTCATCTCAAGTCTTTCTTTCACGTTGTCGTCCCCGCCCCCTGCCCCTCACACCATGCATGCACCCGCTCACATGACAGGCAAATTAACGCTGCGGTTACAATTGCGGCCCCAATGCCTAAGCCTTTGCCGCTGATGATGATTGACACGACGATTGATTTGATCGCACGTTAATTGAAATGATTGACACGCCGCAGTGACAATCACAGTCTCAGTTGCAGTTGCAGTTGCAGCTGCAGTTGCAGTTGCAGTTGCAGTCATAAGTTGCATTCTCGGCGAATGTGCATAAATTTTTATCGATGGATTGGATTTGCCGCTGTCGGTAGTTGACAAACGATGCCGATGCTGAGGAACGGGCGGGCAAAGTGTCAACGGTTTGTCTATCGCTCAATCGGCGTGGCTTAAATCAAAAATAGATATTCCTCGCTAAATGGCCAAGATTGCATGCCTTTAGGCCTAAGACGCCGCCAACTTGTCGTCTTTTCCGAGCGCAGTTGCCGCTGCAACATTCCAGCGCATAATTTGCGCTGTCACATGAAAATATTTAGATATATTTTTAATTGCTTTATCAATATTGTTGTTGCTGCGAGTTGTTGCTGTTGCTGTTGCTGTTGGAGTTGGCTATTTGCATGTTAGCCATGTTTTGCATAGCAATTGGCCAACATGCGTCTTTCATGCTCCGCACTTCATTTAATATGCTAGGTTCTGTGAAAGGCGTCAAAACATGTTACAAAACTGATGTCGGCTCGAAAGGAAAGTGAAAAACCTATTTACTCGCAGACATAAAGGCTTTAAAGTGGACTTGAAAATATCTGTTCTCTAGTCTGAAAGTTGGCTAAGACACACGTTACCATATTCCGATCCAATAACTTTACTAAGTAAGAGCATACATCAATTTTCATAATTATTAACATTAACAATTTAAGTCCAGATTAGACTACCTTCTGGCCAAAGACTCGCACAATAGATTATTTTCATTTCTTGGCTTCAATTAATCATATACCCACTGATTGCCCCATTCGAATGGAACAACTTTATTTAACCTTTGCAATTTTCACACTCACACCTTAACGCTTCAGCTGGCGAGTCGAGCTCGTAAAGTAAATGCTGCGATCGAATCGAATCCGATCGGATCGGATCTATTGCGGTATCGGTTTCAGTTTCACAAATGGAACTCAGGCGGAGGTGAGGATGAGGCTGAGGACGTAGACGTGGACGTGGACGTTGGCGAGATCGAGGACGGGGGGCTGTGAGACCGCACAGCAAATACATTGGCGGTAACGACATCGAAAAAAATTGTAAACCGCATTTTCCGCTGATATTAGCAAACAATTTCATTAAGAAACTGCAATCGATACGAGGCCCAAGACGCCAGCGAATCTGCTCATGAGCCATCAGGTGGCTGCCGTCTGGCGGCTGGCGTATGGAGGTCCGCAGCGACATCGATATCCATAGCCAAAGTATCTGAAAGTATCTGTGACTGTATCTGCATCTGTGGAGGCATTTGTAAAGCTGCTGCTTGGCTTGGTAGCTGGCCTAATAGACTCGTCGCACAGCTTTTGCAATTGAGGTGTGAACATTTTACGCTTCTATGGATATTTCGACTAAATTAGCGCCGAGCGCCACTTCTATGGCCTCTCAATTAACGCAATCGCAGCCGCACAGATTGACGAGTTCGATTCAAAATTGAACTGCCGACTTTCACTCCAATCAACACTTTGTCAGAGCTGCAGATCATCAGTTCTCTGGATGGGACCACCCGAAAGTCTGCTCGCTTGTTCATTTGTTCCCGTTGTCAAAAGGCGATCGCCATAAACACAAAATTAAAGCACAACGCACCGGCTCCCAATTTCCAATAGCCCAACTATTTGCCTAATGAATATTAAGATTACGGACCCGATCGCAGCAAGAAGAGAGGCCCGAGCGGCGATCAGCGATCAACTTTTGACCCACCTGAGAGATGGAGTTCGTTGTCGTTGCGTGGCGTCAGAGCCAAATAATTTGTAGTTCAATAAATGTTCGTTTTATGGCTCTATTAGTGGCTCATTCGGCGCTTCATGCTGATAGCTGGGTCAGGCACCGGGGCGGCTCCGAGGCTGCACATTTTAATTACGATCGACGTGTGGGGCAGCCGCCAAGGAACCATAGGGCCAGACCCAAAGCCAGAGCCAGAGCCATGGTCGGGTAGCTGGCATAACAAAACAAATATGCGAATAAGTATGTTCACACCATGCCCACCCAACATTAACATCAATCTTCCACGGATCAAAGATGCAAAACACTTGAGGACCACACCGATGATGAGGCAGGCAGCTCAAAACAAACCCACCAGACGCCGACACAGCGCGATGATCATCACGATAATGATGATGCTGATGATCGCACATGCGCATTGATGCAGAAGATGATCAAGACGAAAACGAACCCGAACCCGAACCCGAGCACCAAGACGCAGACGCAGACAAAGTCTCGCATGGGCAGAGGCCACAGTCCAAAGAGAGAGCAATATCAGTGTCTGAACTTGGGTTTGGCTCTGGGTCACTCGGTGGAAGCTTCAGATCTGCAGCACATGCGCTGCACCCAAGGCTGTGGGGCACATGCAGAGCAATATTCAACTCTCTGCAAGCTTCAGCTGGCTAATAATAATAAAATTCTCTGCTGCTGCGAGTCGAACTTTGGCTTGGCTGCCAGGTCGCTGCAGACCGAGCTGCTGAGTGTAGGGTATAGAGCATGTTAAATCTGAAAATGTCTTAATAAAACAATTAATAGCACAGCTGAGCTCATAAGTTTTTATGCTGAGCGCATGATCACAAGAGCCCGGGCACAGGAGCGCATTCAGCTGACTCGCGGGTAAGGCCACATGTCAGAGTAGAAGTAGGCAGAAGTTTATTTAGAATCATGTTAAAATCCCGAACAAGAGTTATCGGCATGTTCAATTTTGTAGAACTCCCCAGTTCTATTTTAATTTGTATTCTTTTCAGGTCTTTTTTGATTGATCAAAGCATGGCTTTTTGCCTACCGCGCCCAATCGGACTCCGCACCTGCAATTTTATGGCTTTTTCAGCCAACGCCGATCGTATATCGTGTACGTGTACTATAAAGTAATTGAAAAGCACAACAGATTGTTTTAAATATCAGCCGAGCCGCCCATGTTGACCACCTGTGCGGTGCCTGTGCCTGTGCTTGGGCTGAAGCTGGAGCTGGGGCTGGCGCTGGGGCCTTTGGCCGTGCGGATTTATGGCCCGCTGCCAACCTGCACCTCTGGCCCGGTCTCTACGGGGCTTAGACCTAGTCTGAATCTGGCTTGCAGCTGATCCAACAGTTGGCGCTCTTCGCTCAAAGAGACGTCCCCAACGAAATCTTCTGCTCTTCGCGCTGTCTGCTCTTATGCTAATTTCAAAGCCCCAGCCGAGCAGCGGCAGCGGCAGCGGCAGAGTCAGGGTCGGGGCCGGGTCTAAAGCTGAGGCAGAGGCCATGTGGACCACACACGTTGACCGTTTCGCATGCCGTGGCCACAGAGAAGGGCACGAGAACGGGAACTGGAACGAGAATAAGAACAGAGTTGGGCTTGGGTGAGCGCTGCTTTTATGGGCCCAAAGTATTCGCCACTGGGTTTTCGTTTTGATAAATTATCGATAAAATGATGCGATCACTTTTAATTTGGCTTAGTTTACCTACCGCATTCTTGGCCAAATTAAAAGCGGCGAACTGCGAGCGGCGCCTCTGAGAATGAAGAGCAACAACAACACAGCCTTTGAATTTGGAACTGTGACTGAAATAACCGAACATGATTGAAGTCGCAGCCGCCGATCCGCTTGGTTGTGGCTCCGGACCTGCAAGAACTTCAATCGGCGATGGCTGCTGCCGCTGTTCTTAATTAAGTTATCAAAGTTTTTATGACGTCAGCAACTTTGCCACATCTGTGGGAACTGGCATCTGCAGCTGGCGCCAGCGACGCATAGAAGACTGTGCACAGGATACATTCGGCATGTGGAGCGAATGTGAGGGGGAATGTGGATCGTTTACGGAGCTACTTGACAATTTGTGCGCCATTTCCTGCTGCCTGTCTGACATGTTTACAATGTACGCGATCTGGCAAAAAAAAAAAAGCTAAAAGAAGGTATTTTAGCCACCAATAAGCGCACTCTTCATACCCTGCTAACCGCTAAATACATTAGGAATATAGATATTTATTGGCCTAGAAATTCAATATCAAGTTCTTTGCCTCAATCTGTTGCCATATTAGACAAAAAGGTTTCTAGAATCTGGCATCTAGAACCTTTTCATATGTGTGTATGACCCTGATGTTAGAGTATTTTATAAATAAACAACCTGCTGGATGTGAAGTTAATTTCTGCTCAACCCTATCGATTGGGTCTGGGCTCGATTTGAACGCGAATCGGTTTGTTAAAATTCTCACGCTCCTCTCTGGCGACTTTTAATTACTCGAACAGCTGAATCGATCGTTTGTTGATGTCTTCGAGTCACTTAAATGGCAACCGATTGTGCCTTTAATTAAGTAATTAGTGACGAGGCGAGCGAAAAAAAAAAACAACAAACAAAACGAAACAAAAACAAAAACAGAAACAAAGACAAACAAACGCAAAAAATTCAATTCAATTTTGCTCGTAATCTCTGCTTCAATTTCAGCTGTCATCGGAGCTGAAGTTTATCCCTCTCGTTTTCACTCCTCCTCCTCTCCCCCCTCCCCCCTCACTCTGTCTATCCTTTTGTTATCCTTTCTGCCAGCCAACCCCCCTTTTCGAGGGAGGAGAGGTTGGGCTGCATCAGAAAAACTGTCATTTGTCTATTTTTAACAGACACGCCGACATGAAGGATTTAATTAAATTCAACTCGAGCTGACAGCTTCCATGCAACTTTGATAGCTCAGAGGCGGGAGTACGTATCTGAATCTGAATCTCCAGCTGTATCTGTATCTGTATCTGTATCTGTATCTGCGTACGTATGTGTACGTGTGGGTGTGGTTGCCCTCGTGCTGTGCGTCTGCAGACGCTCAATTTTCGATTTGTTGATTTTTGATGCATTCACTTTGACTTTTCGCTTTGTTTTCATTTCCATTTGCCATCGTTTGATTGCAGCTGGGAAAATGCGACGAGTTGAATTTGAATTTGAAGTGCAATTTGATTTTCTAATTGAAAAGCTGTAAAATGAAAACCCAGTTGGATCGTAATTGATGATTGCGTAGACGCAGCTGAAACGAGCCATAGAGGATAGTAGCTACTCATATGAAGTAGGCGAGATTTCCAATATATTGAAGCTTATAAGTTTAGTCTACAGTCCACATTTATTTTTATTTAGCATCAAACTAATAACTTTATTTCAACAGCTATTTTTAAACAGTCAACTTTTGCCATAATTCTCGAAACTTGATGTCTATTCCTTGTCATTTCAATTTTCACATTATTCATGCACGCCATTAAATCAAATCTAATGACTCACTTTGCCGTTAATTACATTCCTGGTACGAGTAACTAGAGACCCCTTCCCATCTCCCTTCCCCCCAAATACACCTCGCAATCGCAAACTCAATTAGCCAAAATGAAAATGTCACCGTCATAATTTCATGAGCCAAATTGGCTGACTGGCGGCAATTTCGTTGCAACAACAGCAACAACAGCCGCAGCAATAATAGTTCTACAACTAACAATCAGCGCCAGTTGTTGCATGTTGCAAAGACAACAGCAACAACAACAACAACACGTGCCTAGCTCGGCATTTTGCATAGAAAAAAAAGGTAATAAAACTGGCGTTGGTAGCATAATTAAGAACACGAATTGGCCAAGTTAGTAATAGACACACACACACACACACACACACACACACACATGTGCTCGTTGGCAACGTCAATCAGTCAAGTTGGTAGCAATTTGGTGGCTAAAAGCCGCACGCCGACTCATTTCGAGAGGCTTTTTTTAGACAAGTCGACTCTGAATCCGCGCCAAGATTGGGACCGAGTCGCGACTCCGTTTGCCGTGGCCATTTATGAAATTAAGTTATTTTGCTCTTGGGGCGAGCAGCACTTGCCGTAGCTGCAGCTGCAACAACGGCAACAACAGCTACCACGTTGTCAGCCACTTTTAAATGAGTTATTAGCCTCAAGTTGACGATTTTAGCGCTCGTTGCACTGGCAACAAGTTTTCCGATGCTGTCGTCTTGCATGTTCAAACGCTTGTCCATGAGTTATGGCAACGCCCACTTTTGTGGCTTCCTTGCGCAATAATCTAACCACAAAATGGCAGTTCTGTTGAACATTCTAGCCCGTTCCGTTCCGGACATTCACCCACCCTCGACTTCTGCCAAGGATAAGTGCAGGACGAGTGGCTGAGCGTCGTGTTTATCTTGCACGCTAATCATAAGGCCATAAACCACCACAAGCCCTCCCTCTCCTCCTAAGTGGAAAAACATACAGCCTCACCGAGCAAGCCCCGCACACACACACACACACACACACACCCCGCCATCCGCCGAGTGTGTCGACAAGATAAGCCGCATTCATTTAAGCACTTGAACACAGCACGTGGCAGCTGAAAGCGACCCCTGCGAGAAGGGTGGCAGCTTTTTATTGAATTAGACACAAGTAAGAGCTATCCGCACGACTGTCAGATACCCTGGAAACAACATATTCCATTGAGCGTTTATCTTCGGAGTCTTTAAACTAATTGCAAAGTACTCAATTATAGGGTAATGCGTATGTTGAGTTAGCTGCACAAATACCTGATTAACCCAATTGCTGTTAACGAGGAAATGATTTATTTCTTAGTCATTAGAACCAGGAATTTAATTACAAGCTGCTGCGATATTGTATTTTATGTAAAATCTTGCCTCAGATCTGAATGGAGTTATATTGTCGCTATTTAAAGAAATGCATCCGCATGTCATTTCGACTTTCCAACGCTTTTCGCGCTTTTCATTTGCATTGATTGTCGAGGAAATTAATTAAGTTTGGCAACTTGAGCAACTTGTTGAGTAAATGTATCGCAATAAATGGCTGCCCATCAATTGCCAGCTGCCAAGCATCACATTTCATTTGTAATCCATGGTAGCATTCGTTGTGCTTTGTCACGGTCTCCGGAGGCGGAGGGGAAACTTTTTTTGATCAGGCTGCAAAATTAAATTGTTTCCATTTGTTTTCCATGCGCAATCATTGCAGCAACCCTCGTGCATGATGATTTTTATTCAATTGCGAGTACTTAACTATTCATATATATACATATAGATACATAAGTATAGCAATTGTGTGGGGCAAAACTCATTTGCTTGGCCGCAGCTTGAATTACGCATTGGGCAACGTTGCGTATGCGCAATATTCTGGGAAATGTCTCTCAATGAACAAAGTCGAAACAAAGACAACAATTGCAACAATTACATTTCAATTACTTGTACAAAACGTCTGTCGATTGGCACAAAACCCCAAATAAATAACTGGCCAGTTGACATGGCTCAGTTCAGACACACACACACACACACACACACACACACACACGCACACACGCAGTCGAGAACTTGTATTTCTATTCAGAATTCATTCATTATTCAAAGTTGGCAATTGTCACATGTTTTTCAGTTGGCAGCGGCTACTGTGAGCTGCTTGTTAACACGCCAAATGTGTCTGCTACACAAATGTATCTGAGTATCCGAGTAGACGAGTATCTGAGTATCCGAGTAGCTGCAGACTGCACGGCCGCAGAATATTAATTACAGAACTGCAACAGACAGCGCTTAATTCATTGCCTGGCTGCAAGTTGATTCGATTCGATTCAACTCGACTCGAGTCGAGTCGAGTTTCTCACATTGATTGATACGCCCGAAACTAAACTGAACTGAACTGGCCGATCGGCCAGTTGTGCAACATTTTTATTGAAATTGAAACAATTTATGCACGCAATTAAGTCGACGAAGCCTGCCGCTGCAGCAGCTGCTAAGGACTCTGTGGCATGCAACTAAATTTGTCTTCGGCTGCTGCATGTGCTGCATGCACAATGTGGCACAGCCACAGCCTCCATAGAGGAAGTCCAGTGGGCTCATTAAGGCAACCAAAGCAAAATCAATTTGAGGCGTTTATTGCTCAAAATGCAGCAACAACAACAACAACAACAACTTTGATGGCGCCATGAATAAAGAAATTAGCGCCATAAAATATGTCGGGAATTTCGCATAGAAAGTAAATTTTTAGTCCGGATCGATGCAATTTATAACGCTCGCCACGTCTCTGGCCCAATTCAAGTTGTGAAATTGGAAAATCCATGCAATATTCAATCACATAAATCAGTCCAACTAGATGAGAGCTATGCGAGACATTCAACTGCAGTTCGCAATGTGCATTTTATATTTTTCCGAAGATAACTTTCCAGCATAAATTTTAAACTAAAATGCAGCACAATTATTTAGAGTTAAAATCAAATGATTTGTCTCACATTCTTTAAGCCCAGTCGAATCATTTTTTTTCTATTTATATTGCAAGATAAAAGAAATTCCAAGCTGTTTTTATTCATTTTCTATGGCAATATGCACTCTGCTTATCACCTGGAATTCAATTGCATTTAAAGTCTGGCGTTTAGGCTCCATTAGCATTTGCTTTCTCCTCGTAAGGGTATCCCCCCCCCCCCCTCTACATTCCACCTTCCCGTGCAGACCGCAGCTAATTATGTGTGCATCGTCATAACAATAATTCTTAAGGGGGGGACGCGCTGCGTTTACTCAGGCCGCAGTTGCTGCGATGAACATGCCTGATAAGATATCAGATACATTTCTGTGTGTATCTCACTCCCTGCACATGTGTGTGTGTGTGTGTGTGTGTGTGTGTGTGTGTGTGTGTAGCTTGCGATCCGTGTAAGCTGAAGACACAAAAAGATGTCTCATCTTTGGGCTTAATTACTCGCACGCGTGCTAGAAATTTATATGAGCAGACAGCAGCCGCCTTTACCCACGCTCCCTTCTCTCCCCGGGCCGTGGCGACACTTGTGCCGGGTCTTTTGGCTCTGGCTATGGGTCTGGATCTGGGTCTGGGTCTGGGGCAGACGGCTGCCCCTGCTACAGCCGCAACGTAGACGTCTTACTTAGCCCTGGCACAAGCAAGTGCCAGCTGCAGCAAAAGCTTCCACATGGACAATTCATATGTAATTCTGATTTTTTTTTTACAGTAAGGTTAGCTCTGGTTTGTTAGTAAATATGCGACTGGCAATCGTGAAATAATCTCAATAAGCAATCAAAAAAATATTTATCATTATCTAATATATTCAATTTTCTTTGATAAAATCTGAAATTTTTAAGGCACCAAATGAGTTATTTAAATTTGGCGTTAGAGTATCTCATAGTCGACTATGCAAGTTGCACACACACACGCGCTGTTGTTTTGCTTAAGATTTCTTGGCCATATGTTGAAAGTTGTTGTTGCTGGCAACGAATCTGCGTGCTGCACTGTCTGTTCTTGTAAAATGTGTTGTTGTTGTTGTTGGACGCACAGCATCGTTTTTGGCATCGTTAATTAACACATTAACATTTGCCAGTTTACATGAATTACGAATTACATCTGCAAGCAAACCAGCTGCATTGTCGAACGGATATGCCTACTGTCAGGGTATGTATAAACATATGTTACATACATAAATAGTACTCACGTAGGCAGCCATAAACAAAGGCTGAACACTGCTGCTGCTGCTGATGAGTTCATTAGCGAACTAATTTCAACTTAAATTAAACTTAATGCGAAATGATGATCGTCATCAGCAAAGCAAACAAAGAATCAAGGCGCTAAAACAAACAAAGCGACAGGCGGCAGCGGCAGCGGCAGCAACAAGACAACACAGCGAAATAACAACTGTAAAAAGGGGAGCAACAACAACTACAAGAAAATAAAAATGTTTTAATTTGCAGCTTCTGCCCATTTGAGCGGAAAAAATCAAAGGCGTAAATGCCGCGGCAGCCCCAAAAACCACCAACAACAAAAACAGCAACAACAGCAACAGCAACAACAACAATCGTCAATTTGCGCTGATCGCTGCTGCGTTTAAGCACGCTCTCAGTCCAACATGCAGTTCCAACATGTTCGAAGCGCAGCGAAGAGCGCGAGAGAGAGCGTGCAGATTACACGAGTTGTTGCTGTTCTTGTTTTTGCGTTAGCGTTTGGGTTTGCCTTTGCCTTTGCTGCTGCTGTGGATCGGGACGACACAGTGCACATCCGTTTTGTATTGGCGACAGCGCCCCCCCACAACAGCTCCCGCTGCCTATGCTCCTGTCGCTCTGCTGTTATTAATAAAGACCACACATTTTGACAACGAGAGGACCACCCAAGTGCAGCTGCCGCTGTCGCTGCTGCTGCTGCTGCTGCGCCAACGCAGACGCTGACGCAGACGTCGCTACGTCTCATAGTTGGCTGCCCTTTGCATGCTTTGCAATTTAAAGGCCCCGCTTAATTATATGCGGCCAAGGGTCCAGGGGAATGTATAGCAGCAGCACTGCGAGGCGCCCGCGTTGTTGTTTAATTCCCAAATGCTCGCTGAAATGCAAATTGTTTCGAATGCAACCCCCAACAGCAGCGGAGAGCGACGCAAGGGAGAGCAACGAACGGCGAGAGCGAGATGCCTATCGGTGTTTTGTAATTACAATCGAGGGTAAATATTTATGGCCGCTGTTTGCGTGTGGTCAGGCATGGTTAGTTCGACTTCTTGACTTCCCCTCCACCGCCACACAACTGGGTCGCGCATATGTGGACGGGGGTTGACGCTAACGTAAGCTGGTTTCAATGGCGCCCACCAGTTAATAAAAATGTCAACTGTAAATGGCATTATGCAAATCCAGCAAGAAGAGCACGCAAAAGAGCAGCAACAAAAACAAGCTACAGCAACAACAACAACTGCATCAGACGTAACTAATTCACAATCAATCGAGAATGACAACAACAACAACAATAAAAATAAAAAAAAAAACAGAAGCAGCTTCCAGCAACTATCGATATCAGGTGAACTACACTGGACAACAAAATCCATGACAACTTAGATATTTGCAGTACAAAGAAATAGCACCATTTTTTTTTATCACTTAAGAAATTTCAAATGTGCATAATTAGATTTCCTTTCCTTTTAATTCTACGAGAAATATTAATAATAATAAAATTACAACAAACTGAATTTTTGCACTTCCAAAAAGTCAAGAGCATAGTGTAATTATTCTAATCTGTTCATCTATGTTTACAACTTACAACATTACACAAAAAACCCAAAACAATAGAAATTACAATATTCTTTTATGTCGCACAGTGCTGTTACGGTTATTTTTTTGTTGTTGTGTGTTTCTGTTCTTCTTTTTGTTGTAGTTAGCGGCCTTCATTTACAGCCGCCAGCAGTAGCAAAGGGAACAACAACAACAACAACAACAACAACAACAACAACAGCAGCAAGAACAACGACAACGGCGACAACAACAAAACGGCGAGGACCACCCCTTAAGTGGCCCCATCCTCAGCTTGATTCTCTGCCTATACCGATCTTCCTTGGTGGTCCTGCTGCTGCTGCCTCTGTCTCTGCCTCTGCTCCCATTGTTGGCGGATTTGCCAAACTTTGACGCCGACTGCTGCCAAGTCCAAGTCGAAGCTGGCGACTGGTTTCGGCTCGGACCCAGTGAGTCACACTGGCGCAGAGGGAACTCCTAGGTGGAAGTGAGCGTGTGTGTGGTCCGCTGACGTACTGAATCATCTACGTCCAACATGCGGAGCAGAGCGAAGCATCAGGCTGATCATCATGATTGTGATCTTCATTATTGCGTTCTTGTGTGCGCCAGTTGCGGGTGCGTCTCTTGGTCAGAGACAGAGAGGGAGAAAGAGATATAGGCAACATCTTTGGCTTCAGCTACAGCTTGGGCTTGGGCTTGGGCTTGGGCTGTGATCGCGGCACAGATCTTCAATTAGCCTGCCTTCTGGTTGATGACTTAATTAAGTCTGTGTGGCGCCTGGCTGTGCATTGTTGTTGCTCTTGTTGTTGTTGTTGTTGTTGTTGTTGTTGTTGTGGCATCGATTTCGATTGATTTGTGTGCCATGGCAAGCAAACAGTGGCAGCCACAGGCATAGGAACAGGGTCAGGGACAGTGACAGGAACCAGGCACAGACTTGCCCCTTGCCTAGTTAATTGGAGGGAAAGTGGAAGAGCAGTGGAAATGGGGTACAACTTGACAACAACCCACACACACACACACACAGGGAGAGATCACACATGTCGCCTTAACCCCTCCAGTGTCTGCGCCGGATTCATTGCCAAGGCGAGTCTTCTATCCATCGCTCCATCGTCTGTTTGGAGTTTAAGTGTTTTCTGCATTTTGTGACATCTTTTGCGTCACATTTCTCATGCTGTGAAATATTTTGCAAATCTCTGCCAGTTGCCGCTGGCGGCATCCTTTGAAGCAGCAAACGCTGCCAATGTGGGTGGCCCCGGCCGATCTGGCCGAACCAGAGCCGGAGCAGGCGCAGGCGCGGGCGCGGGCAGCTGCAACTCGTGGAAATGAGCTTCTACTTTAATGGCTTACAATGAAAAGTGTGTGCACAGAATTGGGCCTAGTTGTGCGTGCTCGTGTGTGTGCGTGTGTGTGTGTGTGTGGTCCCACTTGCACTTTCCGTGGCAGTCGTGAGTCAGCTGGCCAGTTTCTACTCTGGCCAAGCTG